AGCTTAAACCGAAAGGAAAATAAATTTTTTCTAATATCGTTTTCGAAAACCTTCACGAAGAAATCGCCTAATTAGTCAATTGCTGAGTAATCAAATTTCGATGTACCTCGATGGCTCCAGATCTTCTCTCTTGAATGGTGAAAATCGCAAGTCTCTATCATGTTCATATGAAAATTTATTAAAAAAACAGTGGAATATCCTATAATTTAAAGTAGATAGTAGTCAAATTGGAAATCATGGAGAAATTAAAAGTGCGATTTGTATTTTTGACGTTTTTTATGCATGGTTCCTAAAGTTTCTTTTTTTTGCGAAATGTGTCTCTTGAACTATAGAATCATATAATGAAAGAATGAACAGTAAGAATTTCTGCTTGTAGACAGAAGATTCAGGATTTTTTTAATATGAGAAAGAGCAATGTAATGGCACACTGATTTTTATGTGATTAGATGAAATATTTATTGCATCTATAAAATAAAACTTAGTGTACAGATTTCCTTGACAATTTGAAATTTTACTGAATAAAAACAAGTAAAAGACTTTGTATATACAGTCGATATGTCTCTAGAAATTAATGTCAATATCAAGTATTGAAGAGTGTAATTATTCGAATACTTTTCAATGATGAATTTGTTGTTTGGATTAGTGTATTCTTATTTAACTATAATATAAACTGATTTATTTTACTGTTCATTTTTTTTTCTTGTTTATTTTATGTGTTATGTTATTCAGAATTCTTGTATTCTGCACGACATCTGCATATTCTTTACATAATGTTAATTCTACGTTCAATAAGTTTTTTTTATCTTATGGTTTACTCTCATTTTTTTTTCTTTCGTTCTTTCATAATGCAAGTATTACCCTTTTTTTTCTTGTACGGGTTCGTTTTTTTTTTTTTTTTCATTTCTGTCATTGTGTATGTGTAATAGCCAAGAGGACATTATGTGAAATGATGACGGTGTCCTCCAAGGTTTTTTCTTTTTTTTTTCTATTTGACAAGGGTGTGCAAACGGTTATAAAAAAAAAAAAGAAGAAGAGAGAAAGACGAAGAAAGAAACAGAACGAGAAGATTTAGAGCCTTTCAACATGTTTTGTACAAGGACAGTACCGATTTCATAATCAATTAATGAACAACAATGATTTCATATATTATCGTGATATTATTGGTACTTTATGTAATCTCTTCGACAGGTACACATTTTCAACTTAACTAAAAAAAATAATTTCTGAGAGACTTATTTCAGAATTCAACAATCTATACATATATGTTTAATTATAGAAGGAATAGAATCTCTTCAAACAAAAGATATCGATCCAAAACGACCACAACAACGTCAAGCACTTGGCAGTGACCTTATTGATCCTTATTATGCATTCAATCCTGATTATATGGGTGGTAATATGCCCAATATTCCACTTTATCAAAATAATCCTGATATAAGTGGTCCAAGTTCTTGTAGATGTTCTTGTGGTTATATGTCATTTGGACCGCCAATAACATGTATTAATGCTCAAATATGTATAGCTTATTGTTTACAAATGTATCCAGGACAATGTACACTTATAAATACATATGGTTGTTGTGGTTCATCATGTCAATATTTTCAAAGTCAATCACTTGATAATCGTTATTGTTTATGTAATTGTGCTGGTCAACAATATTTTAATCCAGTTGATTCATGTATGTCAT